TGTTGTTGGTTTTACCTTGATCATTCTATTCGTAGTATATTTACAATTTTTTTGGAAAAATAAATTATTATTACAAAAAGTAATTCTTCATCGAAATACGAACATTTATTTTCAGAAAAACGAATTTACCGTTATTGAAATTATTTATTACCTTTGATATTAGTTGATTGAACTAGACTTAAAACAGAATTTTACAAAGAATTCTTAAAGTTTATAAATAAACTATTTAGGAAAATCTAATGCAATCCTATCATGCAGTTTTAATTAACATAAAGTATATGAGAGATTCGGTGGAGTAATAAATTAATTTTTTCTTTTATGCGTGTGTGAGCACGTGCGCACGTGTTTGGATACGTGCGAACCGGTTATATAAAAAACAATACATTAAAATCTTTCAATATTGATTGTAATTCGATAAATTATTAAATAGAGAAAAGTTTAGAGATTGTGTTCGAGTGAAGATATTGTTTGACCGATACTCCATTTATTTACTTACCTACCACGTCATCATCTGATAAGTCGTCAAGTAGTTTTATTATCATTAATTTTACCAGAACTTTGCGTTTTCCTGATTATCTATCTGAATTACGGGGGTGATTATTGTATCATACGAACAAATAGAAATGAAATATGAATTAACAGGAAATGTAAGTGATGAAAAGTAGTTCACTTTCCAAGTGAAAAGAGGTGTAAATCAACTGGAGCCAAAGCTCGAAAGAAATAATCGAGAAAATCAAATAAGATTGGTCAAGAAACAAAATCCTCGGGAATAATACTCATATAACACAGTAATATCTTTGAAGTCGTTACTCATCCTTCGTGTTTCACATATCCGGGGATACGTGTACACAGGTTTCAGAAGAGAAATTAAAGGATTCCACTTGGCACACTCTTTTTCACACAGACTTTGAAAGTACTTAATAACTATCAAGCGAATAACTTACAAAAACACAAAAAATACAATAAAAAGCAAGATTGATAATTGAATCTATTAAAACATCCTATTATCCTATTTACATTCGTAGAAAAACAAAGCCGTTGGAGTGCATAATATTTCTTTTACCAACAAACAATATTTCTCTAATGGCATTTTCCATGCCTTTGGAGCCCAGGACTCGCTATTATTATCGCGCATACGTCGTTATACGCGCAAGGCAAAGTGGTGGTCGCCACCTCTAGCTTCCCCTCCTCTCCTCCCTTCTCCTCCTCCTCATCATCCTCCTCATCCCTTTGACGCGACCGCGGCACATCCCCGCATTCGTGAATCAGGTGAGCAAGCAAGTTGGCTGAATAATTATTCGCTGCAATTCAGCAGGCCGCAGGATAACCGCACAAAGGCCAAGGCGCTCCTTGTATTTTGAGCGCAAGTCGTTCCACTTTCAGGTCCCTCTTTTTACCCCTTCTGTACATTTGATTTTCTTTACATTTGATTCTACATTTGAAAAATAAGACGAGGGACGGATATGTAGGTACGTACTTTCTTCGAACATATAAACGTGACGTACGCTCGAAAAGTCCAGCGGCCGCCAGCACTCACGAAGGAAGTCGTGTATATTCGTGATTGCAGCGCTGCCAAATAAGCGACTCGATTTCAATGAAATGCGCTATTGATCATTCAATATTATTTCCCTTTTTTAGCGGCTGATCCCATTCACGTCCTCTGCTTATTTTAACAGCTTATTTCGATATATTGTAGAGTGATGGAATTTAATAAATCTAGAGATGAGCGAGACAAACCATTTTTATCAACTCTATTCATTCATATATTACATTCTTTCATATTTGAATTTGAATATATTGTTAGTCGCATGTATAAATAATCATAATTATTAATTATGAAAAATTTATAAAACATTGGTGTTGTAAGTAGAGGGTAGATATTTTTATTAATTAATTGAATTAAAATTGTGACAAGTTATCTACGAATATATATTTTCATAAATATAATAACAATAGAAAATGAGGTAATGTTGGATTAACAAGAAAATATTGTTGCGTAAAATGTTACTTTAAGTAACTTTGTAAGTTTATAAATTTGAAAATTACCGGAATAGCTGTAAGAAGTAACTTAATTTCGGAATATTTTTTCTCCTCGTAATGAATTTAAATAATGAATGTAAATAACATTGTATAAACATTATTTATAAGAAAATCAAAGCTTTACGGTTCGTGTACACATGTAATATAGTATAATACGGTATGTCATTTGCTTTTTAAAACGAGTTGGTAAATTATAAATGTTTCTTCAGTAGTCGGCAAAAGACAAACGCATGCAAATAATCAAAAAGGAAAATTTCGTTTAGAAAAGAATAGGAGTATATTTGATATATAATTTATATTTTGTCGATTTTAAAATTTATAGGTAATATGATAAAACTCGTAATTTTACGTAAAGTACTTCTGAAAAGTAATTATATCGAAACTTTCTTTATAAATTCATTATTTTTCGATTATACAGTTTATAGAATGACTGGTGATGCGTGAAACCATGATTGGAATAAAACAAATTATATAAAAACTATATTATATATGCACATTATATGCAAAGTTTCGAAATAATAAGAATTTTGATCTTATGTAGTGATTATGTTAATACAAGGACAAGAAATTTGTATAAAAAATTTATATTTCTTTATGGATTGAATTATTGACACTTTATTATATAAATATTTTTTGTTTATAATTAATTAGCAGCTATAATTGATTATTGGCTAGTTAGAGAGTACGTATTTCGATACTTTATATGAAAATAAAAATAGCTTAGAAGTTTTAGAATTTCAAGGTGAAGAATAGGTGCAGCGATATATATTTTCTTCAATTAGTCGAAATCTCGTGAAATATTTGAAAATATAACTTAGTACCATAAAGCTAAATGTTAAAAGTGACTTATAATTATAATTATAAGCTCACAAACGCGCGCTTCCGTCTATATTAAAGCATGAATTAAAGCTTAAATTGAAAAACAAAATTCTGATTGTGCTTAAAGAGTTAGCAGCTCATAAAATTAAAATAAAGTTCATTTTTTGCCATTTTATGCAACGATAGCCTATTTTGCATGTTTCAAACATCGAAACTAATTTTTTCGAATTAATGAAATGAATTTATTCTCGAGTACAATCTTTTATAGGCAAAAAATAAAAAATAAAAAAATTATAAATAAAAGGAAGGAGAAAAATTCTATAGGACAGAAAATGCAAGTATAAAATTGTAACGGCGCCCATGTAAGTAGGGGTTCGCAAACCCGGCAGAACAAGTACGACGAGATTCTTTCTTCCGTTTTAACCGAATGCATGAAACAGAGGGATCTGCTACCAGAGATAGCTTGATTAAAAAAGCTTGTATGTGTCGGAGGACAGTGATGACGACAGTGACAATCACGACAACGACCACATTTTTTTTCTTCTCGTAGATTCGCTGCAAACGACTGAATGTAAAAAGAGTATTGTGCATTTAAAAGCGACACATGCTCCTTTCTTTTTTCTTGTACTTTGCCTGCGAGTAAGGGCTTCTCCATCGCTATCCTATATTTTTATTTCGGCTTTTCTGCATGAAGTTGTAAAACGTCGTTTCTCCGGCAACTTGTTAAATTGAAAGCTGATGGTAAAAACTTTGGAAGCTATTCGAAAATTAAAAAATAAAAATTTACTATAAAGGAAACACTTTTTTTCTTCTTTACTTTCTTAATGTCGTTGTTTTTGTTTACCCTACGTTATAATATGAAGAATCGAGTTATTCATAACTCTTTCTACGATTGTAATGAAATTGTATTATATTATGTTTGGTGTGTGAAAGAGTCGAGTATTCGAATACTCACGATTTCATGTATGTTTCATAAGATAATAAACAAAAAAATTTTTAATAAACTCGGATTATTCGTAAAAGAATGTTGCTGTTCAAATCGATATTAATAAAATTGGAGAAAAGTTGAAAAAACTATACATTCTGCGATTGAATTTTCTTATTTGTAATATAATAAAATTATTCTTCCTTCCAAAATTTCTTCTTCGGGATGACTTACCCTAGAATATTAATGAAATTTAACCTTGGCGCTCTCAAAATTTAACGATAAGTTGTATAACTTAATTTTATGCTCAAGTTGGTACAATTTTCAGTTTAGCTGTGTATTACTTTGAGCTCATGTGTATAACTGTACAAACACGAGATGACCAAGAATTATTACGATATGAAGAATCAGTTAAGAAATTAAAAATATGCGAGTAATAAGAAAATATTTAATTTTATCCAATTATTTTGAAATTTATATTTCTATAACTATGAAATGCTTATTTTCATAATATGTCTTAACATGATTAATTATTTTTTGATAGGTAAAATTCATATTAGGACAAAAAATTCAAAATAATGATCAAAATAATGTCACAAAGTTTGAAAATTGCTCTCTCTCTCTCTCTCTCTCTCTCTCTCTATATATATATATATATATATACTTTACCTACGTACTCGAGTACTCTTTCTGCTAAAATGTAAATTAATTATTCTTTCATAATGATTATGAGTGTAAAATATTTATGAAATATATATATATATATATATATCAGGTAGATGGTAAAAAAAGAATACTGTACTTTCCTAAATAAAAATTCCTTCAATTTAAAAATCATAAATACTTATATAACTCATATATTATATTCCTTAGAAAAACACACATACATACATATATGTATATATATTTTGGTTTTTTCATTGTTTTACACTTTAATATGATAATTATTAAAATTTATATTGATGCACAATGCGCGTAAATATTATTCACCTTGAATGCTATGTTGATGGAATAAGATCTTACAATTAAAATTATGGCGTAATGTAAAAGTGAAACTTTCACAACATTTTTCTTTTTTTCAAATTTATATCATTTATTCAGCGCAATGTTTCACTTGTGTTAAGTAAAAAAAAATGTTCACATTAAGTACCATTAAGTTCAGAGGTGATTGGGTATGTTAATGTCGTTAAGCAAATTGCTGATTATCTCGTTACAGGTCGCATGGTTGCGAGTGGATACTCAGACGATCTTGACGATATCGAGTCACGTTATTACAAAGAACCACAGGATAGCAGTGACGCATAGCGGACATCGTACATGGTCCCTTCACATCAAGGACACGCGGGAAACTGACAGGGGCTGGTATATGTGTCAGGTGAATACCGATCCCATGTCGAGCAACACGGGATTCCTTGAAGTTGTTGGTAAGTGTAAGTTACGAGTCGCTTGTGTTACATTATGAGTCGATGATCTTGTCGTATCATAGTCTTATGTTCCTTTGTATTACGTTTCAATAATAAAATTCAAACAATCTTTATTATCAGGGATAATTATCATGGGAATAATTTTTAGTATATTTTGGTAAAATGTGAAATTAAAATTAAAAATAATTATCTTTCAAGATTTGTGTAAAGATAAGTAAAGTATATTTAATGTCGACCATTAGAATGCTATTATGTAATAATAAGTAAGTTTTTACGAAATAATAAATAAGTTTGGAGGACAGTGAAATTTATCACATATTTTCAGGATAAACTAAAATAACTAAAAATAAAACTAAATTCGCTTTAATTTTTATCTAAAAGACATACTAATATAGCTGACATAGATGGAATAAATTAAAAATTAATGGATTCGATTATTTGAAACAATAGAAATATGTTGCCAAGTTTTTCATATAACATTAATGATATTGGCAAATTGTAAAATTGTTATTGGATGTCTCTGTTTGTAAAATTCGTATTTTGTTATAAATTGCTAATCAAGTTTATGCCCATAATTTTTTGTGCTACATTCTTATCAATACAGCTTATTTTTAACGCAGATAATTTTTCGATTAATTATCTTTATAAATATCCATTGAAGAAACAATTTGTAGATTTTATTTAGCAATTATCATTATTTTGAAAGAATTTAAAGAGTTTTATATATTTCATTATACCATATTGTACTATTAGAAGGGAACAGCATATTTTATCTGATACTAACTTATTCGCTTAAGCTCGCGAGTTTGTAAAAGTTATGAATTATGCTTATTAAAGCTTTATTGCCTTATTAAGATGCCAAAATGTTGCAATTTATTGGATGTCTCTTCATTCTTGTCTGAGTATATATTTATCATACGAAGCAGAAACTTATGAACATTTTTCTTTTCAACCCGTACACGAGACATCGTAGACTACATTCTTGAATATAACGAAAACTTTCCTGTATCAGCAAATATTTGCAAAACAAATGTTCCGAGTGCAAATCAAACCACATTTTGAACTCTCTTCATCTTAAAACTTTTGAAATTAAATCTGTCAAATACATCGTTATTGAGAAATATTTTTTTATAATAATAATTATCACATTTGCGTTTGGACAAGGAATTTATATAATAGAGTACCGACGAATATCTACTAATATACCGATTAATATAACCGAAAGATTATAAGTGTAATACCGCATTATGATTTAGATTATATTATATTTGAACATTATAAAGAATAATGTCGACGGTGAATATATAGGGTAATTGGTATAGAAAAATGAGTTATAGTATATTGAGTATCCTTTAGATAATATAAAATTTTGCATATTATGTATAATACTTTCGTAATCAAATTTGCATTTACGTAGTACTTTTAAGTTATTGATTATTAAATTATTGAGGATTTTTCTTTTAAATATACATCACAAAAAATTTTAATTTTCAGTAATAAATGTTGATAAATTCTTCAAGTCGAATGTTTAATGCGTATTTTTGAAGTTTCATAAAAATTGTTATATTATTTATATTTATAAATAATATTTACTGTAATACAAACATTACTGCGTTATTTTTTAAAGTATATGTGCAAATGGTTGTATTGATATTTCATATTTTGCTTTAATAAGTGTATTTTTCTCTTACAAATTATTTATGATAGTTCATTAAATATGTACCAAACAGCTTTGGATTATAATAAAATATATCATTAAGGAAAGCATCAGAGGATGTTAGAAACTTTTGTTTGTTTAATTAAGAAAAGTAAAAAGTTGAGATTTATATATTTATGAATTATTATTAGAGGAAAGTCAGAGAATTAGATGGACAATTAGCAGAAATAGTGCTCATTTCATTTTAAAGAATACTTAATAAAGATGAAAAATAACATATAAATTAATATATATCTCATATGACACAATATAATATATTGAAAATAAATAAAATTAACAATTTCTATATATATATATATATATATATATATATATATATCAGCAAGATAATTTAAATGTCGAACTTTAATAATTGTATCAATTGAAGGAATTGCTTTTTATGTCTCTATATTTTAAATGCATTTTTAATATTTATTAATTGCTATATAACCTAAAATATTTATCTGATTTTATCTATTATTAAAATATCGTTCCAATATTATTATTTTTTTATCTCCGAATAAATTAGTACGGCCTGATTAAACGAATGTTTTTATTTAACATGCTACATAGGAATACTATTTCAATTTTAACTGTACATAGTAAAAGTACGATTTACTATGAATATTTTGATGTCGTAAAATATTTTTGTTTTATTTTAAATGGTTGAATATAGGAAAATAGTTCGTAAGTTAATACTGTAAAAATATGTTTTGAAAAAAATACATTACATCATATGATTAATCTAATTCGTTACTTAATCATGTACTTATGTTCTAATGTACAATTTTTTATTGGCTATAAAAATAATTAGAATAGTTTAATGTTTCCGTCTTTGAGATAGTTTTGCTTTATCTGGCATAGATCTGTCATATATAACATCCATTCATTCATATTTATGAAATAGTTTTTTATTAATTATGTTTTAGTTTAGGTAATTATATGTTTAGGTTATAGTGAATGGTATTTTTAATTAATATTCAAAAGCTACTAATATTTATATGTTATTGGAAAATATTGGCATAATATTTTTGTAACAATGTAATTTAACAATTTAAAATGCTTATTATATGAATGAAATTTGAGATTAATATACATGTATATATTTAAAAAAATATTATTATATTTTCTAGTTTACGACAAAAGTAATTTTTTATAATTGGATATAAACTCCGATTAATTAAAATTACTATAATATTTTTGTAGAAAATCAGTTAGTACATATGCCATAGAGTTATATTACTTTTAAAACTTTGAGTTTGCGGTATCCCTTGACTCCAGATTGTTCTAAGTTGTTCAAAAATTGCTTCGAAGAATTCAAAGTAAAGATGCAATTGGAGGAACTTATCGACGAAATAAGGCAAGTAAAGAGGAAAATAAAAAATATTCGCTTTAAAGGCAAAACAAAGTTTATTCAATTGTAATTGATTCGAGATGGGAGTAGTGTGATATTCGCCTAAGATGAAAATACGAAATATTAAATGCAGCTGATAGGCCAAGGGAGCTTATTGGAAATAAAAAAAAAAGAAAAAAAAAAGAACTTCAATTTGATGGGTGGGCATGGATAACAAATATTAATCAATAACAAATATTGAAGAGATAAGCCTATATACGCTGCTTGTTCAAGATACAGATGAAAAATAATAGGAAAATAGAAAATGAAGAATTTGCTCAGTGAATGTAATAAGTCAAATGTTCCAGCGACAGTGGCCACTCTATCTCCAACATATCTGGGCTTCCACATCGAACAGTTGCATCAGCATGCAATCCTGGAATATACGAAGATTCTCGGTATATAGATAAAAATAAGTTAAATGTCATCTTTCTTGCTTGGATTTTATTGTGCAGTCGGTGATATAGCGATGAGTAGCGATTACGATTGCTGAGATTACCTGCGAACATTTTCGTCTTCAAAGTTCCTTAGATTATTTATCTGCACAATAAAAATATGATAGATTTTGTGATTCCATGTAATCTCATTGCACACATCATTGGAAATAAAATGCATGCCACCACAGCGAATAAAACAATCGCAAACTATTCGAATGCTCGAGCTCCTAACTATGAGCTATTAATAAATGAATCATAACACGCATATTTCGTGACTGCAAGTGCGCTCTTGATTTCGTTGATTCTAATTGCAATACTAGGGATAAGTAGTTACTAGTGGTCTCGTAGTGGTAGCACGGAATGTGCACTGCAAAGGTAAAATAGTTTTGTACTGACATCACACGGCAATTTCTTACTATAAATTCTCTTGTCACTATTTATTCGAGATATCCGAAGACACCTAGTTGTGATATATTTGGATTAAGATAAACTTTTTTAAAATAATTGGTCACAATTTACATGGAAATATAAGTTAAAGCAAGAAGTTAATTGCTTTCATTACGTATTAGAGTCGTTCTTCTTATTTTTCTTCCTTGTAATAATTGAGATTAACCTAACTCTAGAGTATAAGTACGTAGGATTTCCGAGTATTTCTATTAATTGGAATCCCATACGATAGATTTTTTAAAAATATCTAATGAGGCAGTTACTATTGCCATTTCATATAAATGGAAAAATTAACAAATGTACTTATGCTTTTTTAAGAGACTTAATAGAGATTTAGACTGATATACTTTTCTAATTAAAACCCGCACTTAACAGATTATGAAGTTAGAAAAATAAAGTCCTTAGTAGACATTCAAGTTGCCTTCGATATGTTTATAATATTCCAAACTTTTATCAGTTTGTTTGAAACAACAAAAATTTTATCCACCATACATATTCTAGTTTATTTCATAAGTATCATTTAATTTTGCCACCCGGAACACTGTAACTTTAGCAATTTTTGAGGTACCTGAAAAATTAAATAAACTTTATGCATCTTGGGAATAATAACTTGTCAAATATAGGTAACATTGTTATCTAAATAATAATTATTTATCGTACGATGTACTGTAGTCTTAAAGTCTAGTCGAGAAGTCTTACTATTGAAAGACGCTCCAGAATTTTTTATTTTACTATAATATTCTAGTATTGTTTAAAATTATTAAAGAGAATATTCTAGAATTACCAATTTTGAATAACATAAGCCCGGCAATAAAACAAATATGTTTGATATTTTGATTAAAATAAAGTTTATGGATTATAAATAATTTAATTTTTTTAATGTGAAACATATTTAGATATTTTTGTTTTATATTATGAATATAGAAAATTATTGTATAGAAGAAAAATTCCATTACAGTTTGAAAAAGTAAAATTTGGGATAGAGCATTCGATAACGTCTCTATATTATATTAAATCTTATGATATT